TGCCGCGGGGCCAAGCCGACCTGCCGTCGTGTAATTCAGTAGTGAATCGAAGGAGGAGAACTCGGTTACACGTTATAACTCATTCACGTATCTCAAAGTAGGTTGGCTCTTGGCTGAGCGAAGGGCCAGAAGAGTTTTTAGTTGCGGTATCGCGTGAATTAACGGTTTCTTCGGTGACTTCATAACTAATTAAGAAGAGGAAAATAAGGCTTCATAAATTAGCTGGGAAGTTTGCCGGCTCTTGCAAATTAGAAGCACTTGGGAGTTGCGCAGCAGTGTGTGCATAGTAACAAAACAAAAACCTCGGTGACATCTTCCTGTCAGACAGCTCTTTGGGTCTCTTGACAGACGAGGTCACCGGGCGGTTTTTTGAGCTCAACCCTTGCACTGAGAAGGGGCTGCACCAACCGTCTGGGTTTTCTTCTCCAGGTGACCCCGAGCGTGGCCTGACAGGAGAGCAAACCTGGCTTCGAGATTCCCAAAAAGGCCCTGGCCCCTTGGCATGGAGCCACGCTGGGACAGAAACTGAGCCATATTTAAGATTTTCCTCAAAAAAAAATCATCAAGTTGACGTGCTTGGGCTGAGATCTGAGCTGTTCCTGCCTGGACCAGCCAGCACCAGGGCAGGTCCTTGATGGTGGCCAGGCTGTGGACCAGCAGCAGGATGGCTCCTCGCTCCTGGGAGCCGCACCCGCCCTCCAAGCCCCACCAGCCTGCCCTGACCTCCTGCATGTCCCACGCCGTGGTGGTGGTGACACACGTCCCCCTGCACCCGCCTCCCAAACCTGACACTGCTTTGCCTCAGGTTGTCTGTGAGCAGGTTTGTGGCCCCGGGGGTGGCAGGGATGCTCCCCAAAGGGCACTCCCAAAGTCTAAGATCCACCTATAAGTCCAACTAGGGGGGTTCCTGTCCCTCAGTATCTGCAGGGGCACCCAGGACTTTGACCTCCGCTTGGTGGATGTAGGTGGGACTAGGTCAGACTCCATTCAGAGCTTCGTCTCTGCCGGCATTCAGTCGTGTCGTCTGATCCCTGAAAGGCAGGAAAACACTTCAAAATGGTGTCTTCTCCCTCAACCTTCTTGCCAGTCCCTCTAAAAGAATTCCAGAGTGATTTTGTTTTATCCACATCTTGGTAATGGTAGAAGTAACCCGAGGGAGGTAACGGAGCAGCTTCTCTCTGTAGGTGCAACATCTTCTTTCGTGCTGGCCACGCTAACGTAGGAGCAGGGAGCTGGACCCCTTCAGAGTTCTCCCGCCCGTTCTCGGGAGGACTCGCTGCAGGGATTCATCCCATGGGATGAGAGGAACCATGTGAGCCATGAGGCCAGGTTGCTGTAGTTAGTCGCAGATGTCAGCGTGATGAGGTGCTGCATTCAAATGAATCCACGGAAACGTGCCTGCTGCAAGCTACGGGACAGTCTCCAGGTGCTGTGAGAATTTAGGGGCTTTCCTCCAGAAATCCCAAGGTCAGAGAAACTTCAGCCCACCGCAGAATCACAGGGCGGTTTGGGTAGGAAGTGACCTGAAAGATCATTGGAGTCCGACCCCCCTGTCATGGGCAGGGACCCCTCCCGCCAGCCCAGGTGGCTCCAAGCCCCGTCCAACCTGGCCTTGGGCACTGCCAGGGATGGGGCATCCACAGCTGCTCTGGGCAACCTGGGCCAGGGCCCCAC